TAAATGTGATAAAGTTTATCAAATGGTATTGCCTGGTACACATGGCTACCACTTAGTAAATGTTAGTATAAAATCAGCAGTTGAATAAAAGCGTTCTATATAATCAAACTAGTATTTATATTAAGAAGAGAAACAGTTCTAAAAAAAAATCCTATTTTAAAAAGCACTGATGCATAATTAAACAAAGCATTACCTTCATAGTATTGTTATTTTCCATAAAGACATTAGAAGACTTACAAAGAACATTAATAAAACAAATTTTAGTCAGTAGTCACTCAAACTCTTAGTCTGTTTTTTATCAACCTTCACATTTAATTTAAGAGTACCCTTTGCTCAAAAAGGGTTTTAAAAATTTGAATTATATTGCTAGGTGATACAAAAGCCTAACATTTGTTAAAATTTTAGAAGATAGTAGTCTTATAAAACAAAATTAAAATTTATGTGTAGGGATTATAGCCCCTTTGAAACAACAGTTCCAAGTTGGTTAAACTATCAGGTTTTAAAACTGACATGGCTAAGAGGGAATTACAAAAATGAAAAAAAAGATAAATTTCAAATGATTTATTAGAAGCTATTTCCACTGATTATGAAAGTAAGACTTCCTTCTGGCAATCTGGATAAGGAATGTTATATTCTCAGAATAGAACCTATACAACTGGTTCTATTCTTGCTTCTTTAATTCTAACAGAATCTGAGAATAAAGGAATAATTTGGCAGCACAAACCTGCCTAAAAGACCAAAGTAAAGAAAGTGACTACTTTAGGGACAGAGGAAATCTACCTAGAACTGAGGGACACAAGCAAGAGGCATTTTGACCCCAAGACTGAAATGGGAGCCAAGGGCCAGAAAGATATGCCTTCAAAATTGAATTCAGGGTAAGTCAGATCCATTTTAGTTAATGTTTTATATGAGGACAGTAAGAGAAGATAATGAGAAAGGTGCCTCATTGGATTTAGATACGTATTTTTTAAGTTTTCCCTGGGATAATCCATTCTACTAGATAACAAGTTCAACCACTTTGATAGTTACATCTCTGACAACTAAGTCTAAACTCAGATCAACGTCTGAAAACCAAGTAAAAGTGGCCTTCTCATCAGGTATCTTTACCACCTAATAACAATTACCAAAATTTAACAATTATTTCACACTATTTCACACAATTTCAGTATCTGAAAAACTAAAGTCATGAAGTGACAACAAATGTCATGTTAGAAAAACATTCATAACTATCCAGTTATCAACATGAACTGGAGCACTTCCCAGTTCCTAAATCAAGTCCTAAACCAATTATCAATACTATTCAAAGTTAGCTATACTCCAAAAGTGCTCAATTCCACACCTGAGGTTTTTAATGACCACTTTGTGAACAGTTTCATAAATATGGCAACTGTCTAAACTCCTAACTAGAAAATACTTCTCCCTTCATAACCCAGTGAGGATCTAAAACCTTTTTACTTAGTAGTATATTACTCAGTGCAAACATTAACTCTAAAAAAATAGTAAAGAAAAAAAAAGATATCTGATGATGATTCTGGCTCATCTTGTCTGCTTAAAACTGTTATTGACTCTTTACAAAAATGCAAATGTCCCTGTGAACCTTTTCTTGAAGGCTACACATTCCCCTAATCCCTACTCCAGAGTTAACCGTTCCCTGTGCTCCTACAGCACACAGCACATCCCTCCTGTACAACACCAGTAACATAATAGTATAGCCATTTACTTACATGTCTGCATCCCCCACTAGATCCGAGTTTCATAACAGCAAAGGACTCTTAACATCATCTTCATACTAACCAGAGATATTCAAATACCAGTCAATAAAATACTAGTTAAATAAATAAATGAAGCCCAAGAAAGTGTGCTTTAGGTGGGGAGAGATACAATTGTTGTCAGTTTATTGGGGGAGGGAAAGTTGAACTTTAAATATCCACAGGACAACTATCTGTGATTAAGTCAAATCAATATCTGACCATAAAGCTAGATCTTAAGATCTTAAGACTTTGAGAGTTTAGCCAAAACTCCACTAACAGCATGTAGACATGTGACCTACCCTTGCAGGGATCCTAAAAGGACAACTTCAAATCTCCATTTTCCCTCCTCCACCAGCTCCCATTTATTTTCCTAGGAGCCACTGCCCACAGGGACCAAGGCCCTCCACCTACCCTTGACCCATCAGATCCAATTAGAGCAGTGTTGACTTTTCTACTTCTTACTGGGGAACTCCTGCTCCTACAAGGCACTGGAGCCCTACTCTGCTTCCAAGCCCACCCACGTTCATCAGGCAGATGTGCAAGAAATGGGCACAAGAAATGATCCCCATTAAACACCAAATAGCACTTGAAAAACACACACAGTATCGGTGTTAAGTAACAACCATGGGTGGTCATAAGAACCTAAACTTCTTCTTTTGTAATACTGCTAAAAGAAAACTGTTCTGAATTCTAAATAACAACCTCACAAAATAAACTTTTAGGACTCAAATTCCTATGTTGTGGACTACCTATGGCTTTGGGTTATCATTAAACAGCTGCTCAGCAACTGTGATGCTTCAAATCAATTCTTACAGGATAAATAAATCAGAACATAAACCTGAAAAATCTCATAACTATACAAAGTTTTCGGCAAAATTCTATGACAATAAATACATGAACTCCCCAGCCCTAGGCTCCACCCACTCTCATTATCCTAGAAAAGAACTTTAGACATTACAATTCACTTGAAGAAAACTTACAGAGGTCATTAATAGACTGCACAGTATTTGGTATAGTCTCCAAAAGTGTCTGCAGTGTGTCTACAAGAAGTAGGCAGCTCAGAAGGAGGAGAGAAGTTCTGCAACTGATCTTGTCCTCAAATAGCTGACTAACAGTCCTCCACTAGTGATTAGCACTGCATAGGCAGAACTCCTGCCAAAACAGGCTTCCCCTGGGGCAGATAAGGCAGCTTAAAAAAAAAAAGTTTTAGAAAAGTGGTAACTGTTGGTCTACATACTGCAGACCAGTTCCTTTTGGTTTAATAATATAAACAAAGATCTCACATAAGTATATACGTTCAAGAAAGTACTTACAAATGGTATTTGGGTGGTACTAGAGAAGTCTATGAATTTTAATTTTGACCACTTTGAAAAGCTATTTTTCACTTCAAAAATGTGTAAAACTAAGCATATGCAACAGGAAATCTTTTGTAAAGGAGAAATTTTCAAATTGTTACTCTCTCTATAAATTTTAACTTCCAAATAAAATGTTTGAATAAATGAGAGCTCCAACTAGTTTGTTCCAAGTACTTACATATTCAGGGCTTTTTTCCCCCTACTAAAAATATTTATCAAAGTACTGACAAACACAGCTAATGCCATCTAAGTTGTTTTTCTAAACCACCTGTTTTTGCAATAACTGCCCTAGTTCTGTAGTTATTCTAGAAAACTAAAAACCTAACTTAATATTGCAACACTGAAACAGTCTTAATTCACAAATATCTTGATACAGATTAAATGTCTTTCTTACTTAGGTGCATAAAACAAGTGTGAAGCCTAAAGAGCATAGTTGCCTTCCAAAGGATCCATCTGAAGTTTGATGAGAAAAATATTTATCACCCTAAAATCCAAGCCTCTTCATTATTTAAACAAAAGGTTTAGTAACTGAACACTATTTATTCAAGAAGAAAAATTTAGCCAGGTGTGGTGGCTAGCACTTTAGGAGACTTGAGGCCAACAGTTCAAGACTAGCCTGAGCAACATAGCGAGACCCTACTGCTCCATGAAACATAGAAAAATTAGCCATGTGTGGTGGCATGCACCTATAGCCCAAACTACAATACTTGGGAGGCTGAAGCAGGAGGACTGCTTGAACCTAAGAGTTTGGGGTTACAGTGAGTTATAATGATGCCACTGTACTCCAGCCTGGGCAACAGAGAGAGATCTTGTCTCAAAAAAGAAAAAAAAGAATAAAAAAATGTATGTAATGGAGAATGTGAAAGCCTCACTTTTGTACACAGTACTTTATAAAACATTTCTCTTCTCTTCTAAACTATTCCAAGACTTCTTAATTACCAACCATGTCCTTTCAAATCTGACTTTGGGGACAAATGGAGCTGTACAGTCTGTATTTTATTATCTTTGCAATATCCAGGTAAATGGAAAACACTGACACAATGATCTACATGTGGCCATATGAAAGGAATAAAAAGATGGACCAAATGGTGGGGGATGGAAGGACTGTTCTCTTCTAAAGAAATGTCCATGTATCCTCTACAGGAGAAAAATGTGGAAGTAGTAGTGTCAGAAGAAAGTGAACCCACACCTTTAACTCTTTGCTTCTTGAAACATATATTGTAGTTTTGGGGTTTTTAAAAATATACGTATATAAAAACTTAAAATTCTATTTTTAGTAGAGATGAGGGTCTCGCTCTTGCTCAGGCTGGTCTCGAACTTTTAACCTTGAGCGATCCTCCGGCCTTCACCTCCCAGAGTGCTAGGATTACAGGCATGAGCCACCACTACCGGCCTATATAGTAGTCTTGAGAGTATAATTTTTATAGGGGTCACATACTTAAATTTCCAAGAAAGAAAAATTATTTTCAATTTCTATTCAAACTTCTGCACCAACTGTTGAGAGTTAAATGGGATTTTAGTCTATTATGCAATAAAAGTCTAATATGGGTTGTAGTGCTTCTTTTATCTTTTTTTCTGAGATGCACCTGTCATTCCCATATTAAGTTGATGACTTTAAGTCCAAGGAAAATGGTGTCCTTTCCGTGCCTGCCAATTCTTATGTCTCTTGATATTTCTGCATACTCTTCCTAATTAACTGAACCTTATCAGGAAGATATTAATGATGGTTAGGAAACTCAGGAGACACCCACAACCTCAGAACTCAAAATACTTCGCAGTCTACCAAAGGGAGACCTATTTGATTCAAGACGGGAGGGGAGAAACAGGGAGAAGGAAGGTACATGGCACGAAAAGCTGGTCAGAGCAGTTGCACCCAGCTTTTTTACACACTTACTGGTTTGCTAGGGTATACGTTAGATAGATGCATTTTTAGTTTCCCCACGGTCCAGTTCAAGAAGCAGCTAATAGTCTGGTCACTGTATTTCTGATTCGGTGCTTTAATGATGAGGGTCACAGGAATCTCCATCCCACTTTGGTCCATGGTGCCCCAAAGTCGGACGGAGTCAAGAGGAGCAGCAGTTAAACCCAAAGGAACCGAGGTGGTTACCGCCGGCGCGAATGGGATGAGGACAGAAGTGAGTTCTTAGTATTCCGTGTCCAGATCAGTCACAAGTGCATCGGGCGATAAGAAGGCCATTGCCAGTACCAAGGATGGACAGAGGCGGTGGCGGCGACGGCGGCGGCGGCGGCGGCGGCAGCAGCGGTGGCGTCTGGGTGCTGGGCCGTGGATGCAGTTCTCCCCGCCAGGTCCGGGCTCCGCCGGGCTCCGGACTGTAGAAGGAGGCGGGGGAAAGAGTAAGCGAAGAGAAGGGAGGTTGGGAGGGTAAGGACAAGACCGCCGCGGTCACCGCCCCGCCCCCGCCGCGACCCCCAAGCTGAAACGCAACAAGGCCCCTACGCGACCGCCCCGCTGCGCGGGCCGGGGAAGAAGTTGGGTGGCTCAGGGCGGACAGCCGGGGGCGGGTACCTGAAAGAAGGCAGCTGGGCCCGCCACCGCCGCCCTCCGCGCGCAGGCAGGGCCGCCGGCCGCACAGTTCGGCCGGGCGTTCCCCCCTGCGGCCGCTCCCTTCCTGCTGCGCGGCGGCCACGAGCGCGGCCCAGCCCTGGGTCTCGCGAGGCGGCGCGGCTGGCAGTGAGAGAAGTTGGCCGAAGGGCGCGGCCCGGCTCTCCGCCTGACCCCTCGGGCCCGGCAGCGCAGAGCAGGCACCAGCCGGGCGCGGCCGAGGCGTCGGCAGGTGGCAGAAGGGCGGGGACGGGAGCCGGGGCTCCAGCCGCAAGCGCGGTGGTTTTGTTGTTGTTGCGAGGAGGGTCTGGGTCCCCTTTAAGCCGGAAGGCGCAGGGCGGAAGTGCGTCACGCGCGGCACGCCCCTGCGCGTGGCCGGCCAGCGTCGCAGCCGCCCTCCGGTGTGCCCGGGTCAGCGGCTGCCGGGTTCCGCGTTAGCCAGAGGCCGTCGGGCGCTTTGGAGCCTGCCGGGCCTGCCGTTCGCTCGGCCTCGGCCCCCAGCCACGTGGAGGCCTTGCCATTAGCTTAGCTGGCGCAAGCATACCATGTCTTGACCACAGCCTGAAGATTAAGGAAGCGTTTCAGCGTCCCAAAAGTAGTCTGCAAAAGTTAGCGTCCTGCGTGATGCTGAATGACACTGCTGAAATTTTAAGTCGTTTGTCTGCAAAGCAAGGGTGCCAAGAGCTTCGGCGGAGAAGAGGCCGTGGGGTGCACTGCGTAAGGATTACAGGCGTTCAGTTAACCTGAAGTCCACATGGACTTCTTGTGGGACTCTGGCTAGCCTTTCTGGGCCTGCGTTGACTTCTCTAAATGGGGATGGTAATGCCTACATGACTGCCTGCTGATGAGCAAATGGTTTCAGTTTCTGTCTTGTTCCTTCCTGTTAATCTTCGCAGAAGTTGACAAGTGTTCGCTGAGCACCTACTGCGTGTGATGAAGTGGGTTAGCAGTATTATTTTTCTGTTTATGTCTTAGACGTAGGAACGTAAGGTTAAGTCTACTGCCCAAAGTTCCCTTACTCTTCATTTTCTGCACTGGTTTAGGAGTCAGTATAGTTAAGTTAAATGTTGTTAGAAGTGCGTTTTCACACCTCCAAGACTTCCACCTACAGATAATATAGGGGGTTTTGGAAAGTGGTCTCTTTCCTTCTCGGCATCAGAAAGGACTTCAAGCTTCCTACCATTGGATTAGTAACCAACGGGAAATTCTTCCCCTCAACAACTAATGAAGTAGGATCCTTTACAGCCTCCCGTCACTCCCCTTGCTCTTTATGGTAGAACACCTACCATGTCTTAGCAGTACTCAGTCAACTGTGCATCCGAAATGAGTGAAGTCCCTTTATTTCCAGTCGTGGAATAACGACAACTTGCTGTGACACAAGTTTTCTGTAACAGACTGTGCTACCCAGTCACTATAATGGAACCTTAATTCTAGCTTAAAATACTGTTTCAGACTCCCTTGCTGTTAGGCGCAGCTATTTGACACAGTTCTAGCCAATGAGATGGAAGTTGCTACCAGGGTTACTAAGAAAGCGTTTAGAAATGGTCCAGCACTGCCAACCAGAGCTCATCCTTGCCCTACACCTGTCTTTCTTCCTGGAGAATGTGAAGGAGTTAAAGCACCCACAGTTCACTCATAAAGCAATAAACAAAAGAACCAAGGCCTACATACCAAGCAAGGGTGGCAGAGCAGAAAAATTGTAAGATGCTGGGGTCTTTCATGGCATCATTGTGCCACCATAGAGGCCCTAAGCTATCCGCCCTAAGACTTCTTGTTTTTTGTCAAATTCCTTTTTAAGCTAGGAAGTCTTAACTACCACATGACCCTGCAGCTCTTGTCACTTGTGTTTGTGACTCAGACTTCCAGGAATCCTTTAGAGGTGATGTGGCCATCTCACATGGCACTATGAAATGTACATTATTAATAAAGTGTGCCTTAATAATTATCAGTATTAAGATAGAATATACATTTCACAGTGCTAAGCACTATTTAAAACAAAGTCCATCAAAGGTCCACTGCCATGGACAAAAACATGTTGTTTTTTTTTTTTTGGTTTTTGTTTTGTTTTGTTTTTGAGACGGAGTCTCACTTTCTTGCCCTGACTAGATTGCCCTGGCGTCACCCTAGCTCACAGCAACTTCAAACTCCTGGGCTCAAGTGATCCTCCTGCCTCAGCCTCCCTGGTAGCTGGGACTACAGGCACGTGCCACCATGCCCAGCTAATTTTTTTTTCTATTTTTAGTTGTTTGGCTGATTTCTTTCTATTTATAGTAGAGATGGGGTCTTGCTCTTGCTCAAGCTGGTCTCGAACTCCTGAGCTTAACCACTTCGGTACAAGCATTGACTATAGTCAATAGCCACAAATGAACACGCACAGCCAAGCCTCGACTTTAGCCAACAGCCGTGATATGACTTTTTCTAATTTTTCATTTATCAAAATAAAATAGTGAACATTTAAAAATAATGTAATAAAAACATATATGTATTTGTTACCTATTCTGATTTACTGCTATAAAGTAAAAGCTGCCTATAAAGTAAAACAAGATTTCAGTGCTTTAAAGCTTTCCTCGTCACACAAGAGCAAAATGGATATGTTGTCAATGCATAGCACAAGCTATATGCTATCCTGCGGACTATGAGTGCTGGCTGTGGGCAAGGTTTCGAGCCGGTGAGCGCTATACTGAAGTGGTTAAGCAATCCTCCTGCCTCGGCCTCCCAGAGTACTAGGATTACAGATGGGAGCCACCCTGCCCAGCCAAAAAAACATTTAAAACTTGGAATGAACATCCAATAAATCAAAATACCTAGGCATAAAGATGATATAGTATAAGACAAAAATGGTGAGTTTTTTTTAAACTTTATAGCCACTTGAATTAAATAAGTACCCAAAACTACTTTCGATGAAGTTGAACTTGGTCAGAATAACAACAGTATGTAAATATCCTATTTTTGTTAAAATATATATATACAGGTATGTGTGTAGAATAATGTATGAAAGGGTGGTCCCCAGAATATTGATAGTGTTTGACTTGGAATTTGTGGTAGGAAAAATAATTACCATTGAGGGAATACAAGATCGCAGCAATTGGTAAGAGGTGGCCATGAGCATTGAGCTGCCTATTTAAATCACTGTACATGTTGCAGATAAGAATTGAAAATGTGAAAGAACAATTATACATCTTAGTTACCATTTGTAACTAAAGACAGCCCCTAATAAGAATTCTTAAGAATGCGATGGTAATAAATAATAAAAGATTTGTGACTGTTAATAATAAATACTTCTCTGTACATGTAAGGTAGTTTAGTAATTCAGGGTGATTTCTGCCCATGGGGTAGCTCTTTTTGTTAACAAAGAAAATAGAAATTTAAAGAAAATTATTTGTAAATAAAAATCGATTTCCAGTATTTCTGGAATGTTTATTTACTTCCACTTCTTTTAATCTTGGAGGTAAAAAGGTCAGCTAGAAAATAGGTATTGATTCATTCAGTGAGATTCCAGTTTCTTTTAAAAATTCAAAGAAAATAAAGTGCTTGTCACTGAGTTTTTCATACTGAAATTTGGAATATCTTCCAGGCAGCTAAAATATTTTTATCATGTTGAATAGTATAGTTTGTTTGTTTGTTTGATAGCTCCCTTGGAAGGAGACTTGACTTTAGTCAAGTGATGATCTTGCAATTGCAGACTTCAAAGATGATACTGGCCATCTGGCTTCTGATTCCTTCCATTTCCACTTTCACCACCCTAGTCAGTTTAAAGATGCTGTGTCACAAAGCATCTAATCAAATCATAATCAAGTTTATTGTTTTTTTAAAAAAGGAAAACCTCCACTGGAAGCCTAGGAAAATTAGCTCATTTCAATACTGTACTTTAAAAATCTTAATTGGTCCCAGATGTTTGATCATCTTATAGAAAATGGAACAAAGAAAACCACACATGCATTAAATGCCATTAAGTGGGTGTTTTGACTGTTGTGTCATCTAATGAATTCTCAGAACAGCCCTGAGAGGTAGTGAGGACACTGAAGCCCAGAAAGGGTAAGTGTCTTGCCCGAAGACACACAGCTAGTAAGTTCCAAATAAAGTTCTGATTCCACGAAAATGCACACTCTTTCCACTATATTGATATTTCTTATTTAGAGATAACCATTGGTAAAAAGACACTTTCAGGAGGAAAAGGCTTTCAGGAACAACATCTTAGAGGTCATCTATTGTAGATCAGTCTTCCAGGCACTGCCAGAATGAATCACTCTTACCACATCTCTGAAGTGAGATTAGCCAATCTTGGCTTAAATCTTTCCAAGGAGAGGGAGTTTTCCATAGTTTTCACTACAGCATATCCTATTGTTAAACAGCCATGGTTGTTATAAGTGAAGCGAAATTTACATTCCTATAATTTGTCATTAGGTCTGCTCTTCCCTTCTTGATCAACCCAAGATGTGTTTACTCTTTTTCCACATGCCAGGCCTTCAAATAGACAACTATAAAATGGTTTCTATGTTTTCTCCAGACTAAACAGCCTTAAATTCTTCAACCATCCTTAAGAATAGTTTCCAGATCTCTCCGAATAGTGGCTCATTTTTGCACTAGTTTGTAATAGCCCTCATAAATTATGCTGAACCCAATAAGCACAGTAGTTCAGACATGTGATTTTCTTAGAATAGTCTACATAAGGACAAATCTGTATTTCTATTAGTTTATATATTAATAGAAATCCACCTAAACTGGTTTAGCAGTCGAAATTCCTGCTATTCAGGAATGTCCAGTAAGTATTTAGAATGACCATTTGGCTAAGACAAACCTCTAATTTTTCTGATGATTCAATCTCATGACTTATTGAGGATAATGCTTGGAAAATATTATTGCTAAATAGCATCTCACTGATGCTCCTCTAGGAAACCTGAGCGGTGGGGGTGAGAGGGCTGGGGAGGAGGGATCCCTTACATTGTTCACCCTTGGAGAATTTGGAATGTATGTATTAGCTCTCTATTGCTGCAAAAATGTGGGCAGAAATTTTGGAAGCAGCTTAGCTGGCAGTTCTGGTTTGAGACTCTCATGACATTGCAGTTAAGATTTCAGCTGGCATGCAGTCTTCTGAAGACTTGATTGGGACTGGAGGATCTACTTTCCAGTTGGCTCACTCATAAGGCTGGCAAGTTGGTACTGGTTATTGGTGGGAAGTCTCAGTTCCTCACCATGTGGGCCTCTCTACAGAACTGCTAGAGTGTCCTCACAACATGTTAGCTGGATTCCCCAGAATGAGAGATCCAAGAAGCTGCAGTGCTTTTTAAGACTTAATCTTAGAAATCACATACTGT